AGGGATTTGCACCCGTGTTTCTTCTAGTGAAGAGTTGGGTGAGCAGAATAGTCTCCAGCTGATTTGGAGAATGATTATGTTGTCTGATACGTACTGATCTTCATTTTTATCTTTTCACTATTGTTTTTGAATGGAAGTCTAAATAAGGGGGGGCGTCAAGTCTGCAGTACACATATAGCAATTCGGCGATTGCTCACTAGCAAGGTGTCGTGTCAGCCAAGTCGTTTATGTAGCCTTTCTTGAGACTGGTGTCTGCTATTCAAAATTCACGCTGTTTTGTTATTTTATTCCGTTTTAAAAAAACACTACATTAGGGTGTTTTTCTTTACATTACATTAGGATCCATTTCTTATAAGAGTCCCGAGAAATGTTCGCTCATACCTTCTAGAATATTTACGTTTGGTCGTAATTCAAACAAGAAATTTCGTGCCAATAGTTTAACATTAATCCGTGCCGTCTTGAGCTCAGATTTTAAATATTAGAGATCTCTGGCTGTATTTTATTGGACAAATTAGTGATGAAGAATGGTTGGCATTTGTATTATAGCTTTTATAAATTTATTGATGTATGTAATTTATATATTACATTTCACCTTGTCACCTCAGAGTGCATTCAAATTTCGTTCGCTGATCGAGAAATAACACCTCTCTTCATTGTTTGCTCGAGGACGCCATTACCGCGACTTGTGCTTGAGGCAGTTGTCACAACACAGTTCTCACAATGTTTTCGAGATCCCAGCTGACCAAACAGCCTACGCGTGTTCCTTACGAGAAGCGTTTGCAAATTTTTAAACACCTCTTTACTGCTCTTCGTCTCCAAGTGGAGCTATTGGAACCCTTGCTTCTTTAGATTCTCAGGTATTCAATTCTGGTAAGGGGCGGATGTACAAGTATACACAATGCAGGGCTTGATTTCTGGCGGATCGCGCCGGTACTGCATTGCTGTACCTTGGAAACAGAATAACTAATACAAGGAGCAATGACCAATCACTTGGCAACTTTGATTTAGGTTCATCATTGTTGCTTCGTAATTTTATTACTATAATGATTATAAATAATTCTTACGTTATAATATAGATACATAACTATTTACACTAAATTTTAATTAATTGTCTGTGCTTTTCGGAACCCACATCTTTTTTTTAAACCAAGCACTGTGTATATGTATCCGTGCATCCTTGCGTCATGTCCGGTCTTGGATATTCAAGCTCACGTCGGCTCAGGTTAAAGAGATATCACCAAGAAAGTTTGTGGGAGCATGTTTTACCGCTTTTCAAAAATATTTAGCAAGTGTACGTTTAAACATTTTGAAGTCGGAAAGTAAAAGATTGAACATATCTTCGTTCTCACGTCATCAGCCTACTCTGTTATCTCGCTACACAGAGATCTGCACTCAACCGTTCAAAGAGGATCCGTGTCTTTATTCCCCAGCTCTATCGATGAAAATAAGCGCGTAAAGGACATTTTTTAATACGGTTAGACTGTTCTGTGTGAATCAATTTACAAATTCACTGGAACACCTTGATACTGCTACAATTATAGCATTTAAATAGAATGCGGAAGATATGAAAGCGATTTTATAAAACTTATATTTTTATTATATGATTGCTCCGGAAAAGTCAGGTACTGCGAACCGATTTGAGACCAACATCGTTTAATTCAATATTTCACGTATTTCCGTGATGTTTGACGTATCGTATAAGCTGTTGGAAAGCGTTTTGTGCTGGAAACGCGACCTAGGTGCTTCATGCCCATACAAAGTATATCTCTGATACCGAAGAAGGAAAAAAAAAGAGGGGGGGAATCCCTTTGCTGCGAGTGGCTGGGTGCAGCCCCAGCGGCCGACGCGGTGCCCGTCCCCCTCCCCCT